TTGAACATTAAAACATCTAAACCTATTGTAGTAGAGCCACAAAATACAATTATGAACCTGAAAAGGGGCATAATATGACTCCTTTAAAGTGCAGATCTGAGGTTCTTACTGTGTGCAAAAATAATTTGTCATATGCAGCTCTTTGTCTTATTTTGTTTTATTCATTCATTCATTTGTGTAGCAATGTTTGTGGACTGTTTATCTGTAATATGTTAAATAACTTTCTATTCTCTGATGTGGGGATGGAACGGCAGGCCTGATTGTATAACTGCCTGCATAATTTATAGATTTGCTTCTTAATTCATTCACACGTATTATAAATATTTTCCTGCACAGTTTACCTGCATATTGGAGTTCTTTAACTATAATATTGATTATCATCATCATTTGCATAAAAGCCTACAGGTTGTGTGTACCTATGTACAGAGAGCTAAAAGTTCAGAAGTATTATCAGAAGTGTTTTGTCCCTGATTTTGCCTCCCATGTCTATGAGTTTTGTCCTCTTTCTGTCTCTGTTTTATTATTCCCTCTCTCTTTCTCCTAGTTTGTTCCCAGTTCTCTCGGGGCGTCTATGCCATTTTTGGCTTCTACGACAAGAAGTCTGTAAACACCATCACGTCCTTCTGTGAGACACTTCATGTGTCCTTCATCACACCGTCTTTCCCTGCAGAAGGAATGAATCAGTTTGTTCTTCAGATGAGACCAGACATCAAGGGGCCACTAGTTTCATTAGTGGAGTACTACAAATGGGAAAAGTTTGCCTATCTATACGACAGTGATCGAGGTAATGATTTATTCATTATTTATCACAAAGGGAATTTTAGTTTAATGTCGCTGCTGCTGTTACAGTCTCTGTTGGAATGCACGGCAACATCTCAAAAACATTTAGGCAATTTCCTTTTATGTATACGGCAATACCAATACATCTTTGATATTATCATATTAGCTTTATGATATAAACTAATATTTTGTCCTAGCTGATTGACCATGTAACTATTCCTTATATGAGTTTCTATGAACAGTTCACTGTCCCACAGGACCTTCATTTTTTCAGGTATTTGCTCATCGAAAAAAAAACCTAAGCTTTTTTGTCTTGTTTCTGGGAAATTTTATCAGTTCGTTTATATTATATTGTGATAAAATTACACTGTGATGGACGATTTTACATAATATCACCCAAATATTTGTATTAGGCAATAGATGTGTTCATATTGGCACAGATTTTTAAGTTGTAGTTTGTTTGTTTTTTACAAAAATGTATGACTTATATTTACAGTGTATACTGTACATGCTTGTCAGTTGCTCATTCAAAGTTTTGTCTGCTTAGTGTGTGAAAACTAAAGGAACGTTGGAATTTTCTTTTTTAAAGCTTGTTCAAAGGTGTCTTCAGTTCTGCCTCATTGGTGGGGATCCCCAGGCTTGTTGGTTTGTTCACATATGCAGAGTGGTTTAGGTAACATGTAGGTCGATAGTCCACCTGGTTGTAATGTGACAGTCGTTGAGTCAGTGAGTCAAGCTGTGATGGGTTTTTAGATGCCCTGTGACTGACTGATCCATTGTTCTCGCTGTCTCTCTCCCTCATGATTTTCTCTTGCTGATTTTAATTGTATTGGTATGAAAAAACAGAGAGTCTTCTAGGCATCCTTTGACCTGAGTGACTGAGAAACGCATACAAATGTAAAAGTTCTGGTTACTTTCTTCTGTTAGTTTCTGTTGTGTAGTTCTTTTTACAATATCCAAGTTGATAATAACCAACATTTAACTAAATGGAGTGACACAACAGATAAATATCAGCCACTGATATGAGTGAATACCCTCTTTATTTGCTGATAGGCCCATATTAGTCAACAAGGCAAATATTGGTGGATATATCTTTAGTAAAATGATGTATTCTAAGGAATTATTTAATCATGGTTTTTTTTGTGTGCATTTGGGTGTGTAGGTCTTTCTACTCTTCAGGTTATACTGGACACTGCAGCAGAGAAAAAATGGATTGTCACAGCGATAAATGTAGGAAACCTGAAAGATGAGAGGAAGGATGAAGCTTACCGCTCCCTGTTTCAGGTACTGATATTCTGTTCATACACTGCTATACACCCTGATTGTACACCGTGCATTTTTAGAAACACCAAGATACACAAAACCAGACACTATGGTCAAAAGCATTGCCACTTCCACAGAAACCAAGGTTCATGACAGTGACATCTCAAGCTCAGTTGTATAATTTCAATTCAATTAAATTGTATTTGTATAGCGCCAATTCATAACAGAAGTTATCTCAGGACAATTAGCCTGGTCCTAGACCATACCTCCTTACAACATTATTTTACAGCGCGCGATCAACAGTTTGTCCACCACTTAGAGGAGACACACAAGAACTCCGGGGAAGAAGTGAAGTTAGTAACATGCATTAATGGGACATGAATGTGTGCAGAAAGAGAGAGAGAGAAAGAGAGGAGCTCAGTGCATTATGGGAAATCCCCCAATAGTCTAGGCCTTATTCTTTAGTCTTGTACCACCAATCAACATGTAAACCAAGCATTGTAAACTAAGCAAAATAGAAAGTATTGCCTTTACTGCAGAATATTACTAACCAGATGAAAGCTTTGACTATAGCAAAACGGGTCATATTACTGATTGTTGTCACTTTGACAAACAAAACATTTGGCTTTAGAGTTTAGATTAAATTAGTTTAAGGTCAATAAATAAAAAAAATGATAAGATAAAAGTTGATACCTAATGCATTACTATGGAACAGTTTACAGAACTGATATAATAAATAAATCAAAGGTCCTCACTGGTGTCCAAAGACAAATGTGTATGTGTGTGTGTGCAGTGGAAGGGAGACCAGAGGAGAAGCAGAGAGCACCCAGAGGACGCTGCGAGGGGCGGAACGGCCCCCGCCGGGCCCGGGCCTCAGGAAGGATGGATGGAGGGATTGTGTTGACAAGGGGGAAAGACGAAGAGGAGGAGGAGGAGGAGAGGCAGCCACACATTCAGCAGGGAGGCTGAGAGCATCGGCCAGAAACTCATCAAACCGGTGGAAACACCTCCAACAACCCAGCAACAGCAGGGTGCGTGCGTGTGTATGTGTGTGTGAGGTGGATGCTCATGATTTAGGGAGCCAGCGGTGTGTGTTTGTGTGTGTGAGCTTGGAGAAGTGGGGAATGTTTGTGGGTGATGGATGGGAGTGTTGAGGGAGGCTTCGTTCAACCATTGTTCATTAGTAAAGTACACAACTGTCCTGCCTAATTGCTCAGCCATAATGTCAGACTGAGATGAATGATTACAACCAGCACTGACCTATTACTTCCATCAGTGCTGAAGAAAACTTCACCTCATCATCCCCCCGAGGGACAAAGGAGGAGACAACGCACTGTGCGTGTACATTTTATACAAAGTTGTAGAAACACTTATTTGCAAAATATAAATGATTAGATCTTCAGTTAGATCCTTGATCATTTTGTGGGGTCATCATATTTCATATGATGTAAATGACATAAAGGAGGATGATCTCAAAGTGTGTGTTGCTACTAGCAGTTTGTCTGCCCATCCAACTTTGGTTGGCATTATCTGGTCAGATAGGCATGATACTTGGAATCTGGACCAGGTAACCGGAACTATCCACAATGAAGAAACAAAAAAAGAAAGTCGAGCCGAGCCGTACTATGCACTGGAAAAACCCTAAAATACACTTCTTTAAGGTATTTACAGCCAAAGATAGACAGGAAAGGGGGGCAGAGAGAGAGGAGATGACACACAGCAAAGGGCTGCAGGTTGGATTCAAACCCGGGCCACTGCAGCAACTCCGTACATGGGTTGCCAGCTCTACCAACAGAGCTAACCGGGCACCCTAAAATATACTGTTTTATGGGTTGCCATGACATGAGTACATATTATGCTCCCAAAACACGAACCCTTTTCATTTTGGACACTGGATGGAATTTGCTCTGGTGCCACTGTCAGAAGAAACTTTACAATGCTCCAAAATTGTCAACATGTTGTTCCCATCATCTGACACATATTCTGTGCAGAAGAAGCTTCTTGGATAAGTGGCAAAATGTCTTTATGCTTACAATTTCAGACCAGTCAGTTCTTCATTTTGCTTTCCTCATTAACGGTACACAATCAAACTTTGTCGGAAGCAGCTTGCTTTACTCTGCATTTTGTGTGTGTGTGTGTGTGTGTGTGTGTGTGCGATATTCATGCCTTGCCCTCACTCCTTCTTAACTATGATAAAGTAGGCTCGGTCCTGTCATGGACACTGCCCTACTCCCACTGCCCAGGCATCTGCCTCTTCTGCCTCTGCCATCAGGACTGGATCTGGTTCAGATCGCCCAGGCTACAGGGAGTGTTGGAGGGAGGGGGGCTTAGGT